AGAAGGTGTTTTTCATGAATTTTGCATTAGTTGTTGTCACCGTTTTGAAGAAACTATTCATGGTCTTTTCATGATTCTTTTATGCTATTTCATGGAGTTTTCACGATTGTTTTTGCATGAGTTGTCCATGACTTTTTTATGACTTTTCTGGATGATTTTTCATGGGGTTCTTGCATTAAGATATTCATGATCTTTTCATAATTTTTTAGCATGATTTCCGTATGACTTGGTCATGATATGTAGGATGAATTTGTTTCGTCAATTTTTCAGGACTGATTTGATGAAGATTTTAAATAGTTTTTTTTTTAAACCAGGAAGTTTAAGCAAATAAGTGAGCAATATTAGAAGCGATCGCAATATCATTACAATTGAGTTCTAGAGAAAGGTTCTCTCTTCATGACTATTTTTAGTCATATGAAAAACATGCAACATGCAAACATGATATTCATGTCGTGAGCTGATCTTTGTCACAACCTTTGTTTTCGTATGCTTGAGCAAACGAAGACACGAAGGTAATTCCTAGCATTTTCTGTGACATAACACTTTTTCTCTCGCTCTTACAAATGTCGAGGAAAGCTTGATAAGTTACTAATAATATTTCTCCAAAAAACAAGTAATGAATGTCGCTCCGACTTATTTAACCCCCGACTATATCTGGTACAATTGTCACTTATCATGTCTTTCGAAATTCTGCATTGAGAAGTATTGCTGAACAAGCATTCTTAAGAAAACAATGTAGGATAATATCCTTGATGATTGTTTTGTAAAAAGAGACAAGCACATTATTTTTGTTGCGGTTTACTAAAGTGAAGCGTCAGAGTCACCTTGTAGTCAGTAGTCAGCGTCCCTACACTTATCGTTTCCAACTACTTGACTATGCATAAGCTGCGGGTACAGTCTAATGTTATGTCTTATTCTCTCGTCGAAAATATTTTTTACGAATACTGAAGAAACCTGTGAAAAATGCATTTTATGCTTCACATGTTGACTATAAATTCTTTCCATACTTGATAAAAGAAAAAGATTAATCAATGCAAAGTACTGTAGTAAGCATTTTATATGGTACAGCGCGACTAGCATCCATGAATATTCAATATAAATTTTCGTCACTTTAATGGTTAATATTTAAAATATCTACTAACGACAAAATTAACGCTACACCAATTTTTGATAGATATTTTCATTAATAGTCAACCACGAAAAATAGAAGTTTTTCAGAAATTTTTTTCGTCTACAGGACTTTGTAGAACTTGCTTAACTAATCATTTTGGTAAAAAAAATATTCAAATTTACTCAATAAATATCGGCATTAGAGTCGAAATACTAAAAACTTACGACTCTTCGTGACTAGTGCTGAGTAGTAAGTGATATTTTTGAGTATTCAGCGCCAAGGTTCATTATTTATCGGGTAAATTTGAATATTCTTTTTTACCAAAATGAGTAGTTAAGCAAGTTCTACGAAGTCCTGTAGACGAAAACAATTTCTGAAAAACTTCTATTTATCGTGGTTGACCATTAATAAAAATATTTATCAAAAATAGGTGTAGCGTTAATTTTGTCGTTGATAGTATTCTTTAAAAAATTCTGTCATTCGAATTATCGAAGTCATTAAATTATATTTTTCCCATTAGTTGATAAGATCTATAGAAGTAAATTTTCTCAAGAACAGCAATAACGAAATGATCTTTTGGGTTTGGGAAATTCTTACTGAAGACTCAGTAAAATATGTGAAAAACTTCATCACAAGCACAAGTTTTCATTTTTATAACTTTTTATATTTTTAATAGAATGTCAAAAACTTGCAGTTCGTTTCTTTAGTAATTAACCATAATTATTTCTTTTAATCTGGTTCATCCCTCAAAATTAATGTTTTTATCGTTGTCGTTTTTAGTAGAATGTCTTACAAAGGCTATCTATTTGAGTTTGAGGGTTTATCCCTCTCTTGGTTATAACATCACCCAAAGACTCATAAATCGTGGCATAATCAAGATGTCATCCTGTCCAGTTGCGCCAAGGGTGAGATTTATACCCCCAAAACCTTACAGTTATCGAACATACTTTGTAAAAACTTTCCACACTATCTCACTCTTCATTTGATATGCACGTTATTTTACATTATTAATTCTATATGTTGCTCAAATACTGTCAATTTTCTTATATCTTTCATTGAAAATCTTCTTTTAGCTAAAGTTTTATAGAATCATCTCCAAGTTGATCGTCAGCACATCGATGTGGAGTCACTCTCATCTTCCTATTTTACTACTACAGAAGTCTTGGATAACATCATCTAGATATTTTAGTGTATTGGAATAAGGTTCATAAATAAGACATCCTTCTCAAATATTTGTGGACATGTGATTGTACATGTGCAAGCAAACATACAAAGTCAATACAAATGTATTTTATTGCATACGACACCCCGACACTTTCAACTGTGAAACAAATCTCATATTTCCATTCAACATCCTAATTGCTCCTTGTTTTGGAAAAAAGATATTACAGTAAAATAGCTGGTTATCATCATTGAAATTGATATACAAAACTATCGTCAATATGTTGTATTTTGTTTCATAATTCAGCAAAGTGCAAAAAATTCATGACTCTGTTTCGTCATTCAGTAAAATTCCAGTTATTGATGCTCTGAAATGCGCAGTTTTGTACTCCAATGCATGAATATATTGAATTTATTAATGATAGAAAAAAAAAAACTTATTAAAGAAATATAGAAAGATTTGGTTAGTAGAAATGAAAATGTCTGTCTTCCATGACGTTATGTGTCGAAAAGCGACGGCATGTGATAATTATCCTTGTCCTTCATATACTAAAAATTAAATAGATTTATATGAGTTTTGCAAAAAAGTTTATATCTAGAAAAGCATACCTCACGTCTTCGCTTGACTTTTTTCAACTATTTCATCTATTCAAGATTAATCTGCCTAACTTAAAAGATGAAAAGAGATCGCATGACAAATGAACTGCTCTTACTTTTTCCTCTCTTCGAATACTGCCTTAGACTAACATGTGCCCGTCAGGTTCCAATCATGAGACAAAATTACATGACATATGAATGATGTTAACTCGTTCTTTTCAACTATTGCTTCAAGTCGACGTGTATATACCGAGTTTACAACTTTGTGGAAGGGTGACAAGATTTATGAAGAAGCTTAAATCACTCATTTCAATTGTCTTCAGAGCTCAAAATGTTTCTACTGAATATAAACTATGAAGTATAACCACATGGCACATGAGCAACTGTTCTGTTGCTCGTCGTTCATTATTTCCTTTGTTAGAAGGATCTATGTCGAGTTCAAAGTATGAAGGAAGAAGAGCACATAGCATATGAACAATTCTATACAACTCTTTTCAATTACTTGATGTGTTCAGATCATGTCCACCGAGTTCAAAGCATGAAAAAATATCACATGGGCTATGAACAATTCTACATCTCGTTTTCTTTTCAAATATTATTTTACCTCAGAGTGAATCTATCACGTCTAAATTACGAGAACAAGACGAAATATAAATGAACACGTCTACATGGTTCATTCCAACTATTTTCTTGCTTCGAAGACTGGGCACATTCTGATCATAGTGGTAGATCATATAAGAAATGAATAATTGTACATCTACTGTAGTTCTGTGAAGCTATTTCGAAGATTCGTAGTCTCTGTCTAGTACAAAGTATGAAGAAGAAGTACATGACAAATATATGAACAGTTTACGCGTTTCAACTATTTTTCCAGTTTGGAGAGTAACTATGGAAGTTAACAGTATCTGTGAACATCACTTGACAAACGAATAACTCTAAGAGCAGCGACCCTCTATTCACGTGTTTTGCCTCTAAGAGAAGTCTATGCCGAAATCAAAATTATGCATGGAAGTCAGATGATAAATAAACTGTTTGTTTGATTTATGTTCTTCAATTATCACATCACTCTGAAGTGTCTGTGTTAAGTTTCAAGGATAAAGAAGAATCACATGATGAAAAAACGACTCTATGCTTGTAGTTGTTCAATAACTATTTTCATTTGATTGAACAGAATCCAGGTTATTGTCAAGTGCGATTATGTTGAATATGAATGAAAGACACGCTTTTGTATCGAACTTTCGACGAGTTGGCGTAAAACCGATCTACGATTTATAAGAGCTTGGTTTTGATCTTTGGCATTTGCGAGTTGCCATGCGTTGAAGATTGTGATCACCAAGATTAAAATTAGAAATACACGCATTATTGCACTCCTGCTTATCGTTATTACTTTCAATTATGAAGAATGTAAGAATATCTTACTTGTTACAAATTCAATGTTTTTATGTGATTTTGATGTACATGCTTGTGCCTTATATACACTTAATGTGAAGGAAAGCAAATTACGTAGTTATTCATATTTTTTTCGATGTTTTTTTGTCGTCATTGAAGCATTTACGTAATGTGTATTCAGCAATGAAGAAAAAAAAAGCAGACCATACAATATGATAAGGAGACTCCTGAAAAAAGAGATCTTATTGTGTGGTTGAATTGTGGTATCTATCGCATTATTTACTATATTTTCTCTTTCGTTTTAGAGACAAAAGATGAAACAAGTAATTATATCAATGTATTTGTTGTCTTTTTCTTAATATTTGAATCAGTAAATTTGCTTGATGTAAAATCATGACTACATGTTGTCATGACTCATTCGTAACGACATGATTGATGGGCATGATCAAATAGAATATTAAGGAAAGATCGAAATCATTGCATGACGTAATCCAATCATGCATAACAAGCAGAACATATATATGGATAGATATTTACAAGAGGCATATCAATGTCATGCTTTTTTTAGGCAATTAAAAATAGTAGGTGATACATTCGAATAATTTCACCTATTTAATTTCTTTAATGAATCATAGATATGTTTTTTATTAGATGAAATAGTGATTTTTGTGGGTGATCATTGCAGATGCATAAGTTGAAATGTATTTTTTTCTGGACGCTTATAGAAGTCGTATTCATTTCAATGACAATAGCACATGATGAATTATCGTCAACGTTAATGTTAAATGAAGTTCAACTTTCAAATACAGAGATACTTTATCTTGCTGAATGTCTGCAAAACAAAGAGCACATGAATCGTGAAGATGCACTTAACACCATTGCCGAATTGGAACATTTTTACTCAGTTCTCAAAAATACTAATCTTGAAATGTCTGTACCATCGCCGATGGTCGATAAGGCATGGCATCAGCACATTCTAAACACAAAAATGTACAACATCTTCTCGCGTCAACATTTTGGCCTGGAAATTCTTCATCATCTCCCTTTCTGGTCTGGCAACACAGGAAATATGGAGGACATATGGGGTGTTGATGGTGAGCCTAGTCTATTAGACATGTACAATGCCATAGTGGTTATGTTTGGTTTTGAAAATGTCAATAAAACAGTATGGCTTATGGATGAAGACGATCTTAATCGTTTTCTTTGACAATGGATAGCGCACTCTAAATTAGAACTGATTCGAGAAGTTGTCATTTGAAAATATCTTTGTCTATCCTTGATACGATGCTTCTATTTGTACCTTTTTACTCTACCCTTATTCTGTATAAAAGTCTCTATTTTGATTGTATGATATAGAATGTACTAACCAAGCAGTGACTTGCATGACATAGTGAAACATAGCTGAATATCTATATGAAACGCGATCACTCTTGTGGAATACTATGAACATGAAATTGTGGATATGAATAGAAATTGAATAGCAGTGTTTCTTCATATTTTCAAAAAGTATATGAATCAGTTCATACTAATTGTATGGTGTGGGTGTACAAAACATAAAAAGTAAGTGTCTAAATTTCGAGTGGCGTACATCACTAAAAAGATCATTCTTGATTGCCAATAAATATATATTTTTCCTGATTTTTGATTGATCTTTGTATGAGATCACTAATCTCACTAAGTTCTAGTTGGATTGATGCCAATCAAGAACTAGCATCTTGAAGGTATTTGAAAACAATCACAGTATTCATTGTCAAAATGGACAAAATATATCCCGCTAAATACCAACTTCCAATAGCACTGATTTTGTAAAGACTCTTCAAATGTGACATAAGTACTATTAAAGCCGATTCATGGTATCAGATCCGATCATCAATGAGGAGTCGAGTGATGTATTATAAATGCGTATTTTATTGTAATTTGATCAAAGTACTTCAAAATAAATCTCCTTCTACATTTACTCGTATTTATTATTTCTTTTTTATTCGTATATGCTTCGTAATAAACTGTTTGTAATTGTTAACCACAACGAGAAAGTGGAAGATGAAAACAATAATGGAAATTTCATGCGAAAAGATCAACTCTTTCTCTAGATATTAGGACGGCTAAAGTTGAAAATGTCACTCTAAACGTGTGTGAGAGAGAGAAAAATTTTTCTACTTAAGAATCAATGTTATTTTCCTAAAAAAGATTCCAGGACCAGAATTTTTTTATTGCATAATGCAGCGAGGAATGCTCAAGTTGTATGGTTTTCTACGAAAATTCAAGTTGAAATTGTTATCAGAAAATTGATATAATTTATTAATGATGAAACGTCGAATCAGTCAATAGAAATCTATTTGTAATAGCTGCTGGCTACTATCTGACCAAACACAAAAGAATTCTTAAAACGAATAGAAGACTAGGCTTTTTATTGATTAGACAAAGTTAACTTATAGATCGGTTGATTTTGTGAGCTTCATATCACCACACCGAATAAAGTTAAAACATTGTAATTTTCGGGAAATGTAAAGAGTTACAGATTCACCTTCATACTTCGTGAGATGTTCACACACTTTAATTCCAATATCCTATAATCGATGTACTTAGAGAAGAGCCAAAAAAGTTCGGTAGAGTTAATCTATAGCGAACTTTCTAGTAACATCGAATTTTTTTTCAAAACATCATAACATATATTCTGGCAAGCATAACAAAATAATATTCATCTGTTGAATAACAAAATTCTATTCATTTGAATGTTACCAATACAAACTTCAAGAAAATCAACGATTATTTTGATGATATATGATTTCTGGAGATTGGACATGTATTAATTAAAATTCGAATACAAATATTGAAATCTTTAATAATTGAATACTTGAAGTTTCAAGTGTCAAAATATTAATCGATGAAGGAGTATTTGTAAAACAAGCGAACACTCACGAACACCCCCAAATCAAGAACTGATATTATGAGTAGATAGAGCTCGTCGAGTTGACTCGACGAACATCCACGAACGCCCAAAAACGGTTGAGTATTAGAAAAATTTTCCAATGCACACTGATTTTTTCAATCCACGAACACCCATATCTTTTGACTGTTAGTAGACCTACTCGAGTCAGGTATATAGCCAAAAGATTGGGCTTTTATCAGTTTGCCTAAGAAAAATAACAGATATACAGTTTCTCAATTTTATGTCCCATGAGATTTTTCATCTAGGTCATCATCGTAAATGATAGAGAAACTACAAAATCATAATCCGAAGGCTTTCCTCTATCCAACATATTTATAAAGGAATAAGTTTTGTGAATCTTCACACAGTCCATATTGAAAAATACTGAACATTTAATCATTTACAGATGTTTTACAAAAATATCTAGACCATATATTTCGACCAATGGTGGTCTTGACGGGATAATATCTTCACAACGGCTTCACCGATTAAGCTGAAAACTTTTATGAACATATAGTGCTATGAGTCGCACTTACGATAAAATTTTTAATTCAGAATATCAAACCCTTCAGGGTTTAGAACTCGTCCAATATAAATAGAATTCCAGATGTTAGACAAACTTAGTATTTTATTACTCGTGATTAGAATAAGATGCAGATCCGAAATGTTTACTAGAACTAGTGTTGGTAGAGTTGTATCTTAGATAATGACTTGAATTTCGTACATCCTTTCTTTCAATCAGTAAAGTACTTTGAAAAATTATGTTTTGAACAAAATCATAGTTTTCAAATCATACAGATCAGAGCACTCATAAGATACTATATTATCAATCATAAATATCATTAAAAACAAATTCTATTTTCATAAAATTATCAAACATGAAATCTGTAATATCCAATTCAACTTGCTTTTGTTTTTTTTTACTATATATTACTATTCTTCTTGAAAAAAATTCTTTCAATTGATAAATACGAACAATCACTATTTATTTTATCATCATCAGATAGAGCGAAGAACAAACTAAATAATAATAATCTAAGAAATACACCAAGATGTCTAAAATCAATACACATTTCGAAGATTCAAAATGATCAAAATAAAAACTGATGTTTGATAGTAACAAATGTATTTTTCACCAATCTAAATGAAAATGAACAAAACAAAAAAAAACTATAATTAGATCATTTATAAATAACATAAAACCCATAAGTAACTATGTTCCTTGATATGATTATTCCTGATTGAGAGCTTTGTAAAACCTTTTTATTTCTATTTGGTTGGAAATAGGATATGAAAAGTGAAATATTTCATCGAAATAAGTACGATAAGAAAATGAATCTAATTGACGCTTTTGACATTTATGACATTTATATTTATGTACAGTACAACACAATAGAAAACATGATGTATTGATAAAAGTATTTTAACTATTTTGATTGATTATATAGAAAGATACGAAGCTGCAACCCTAATAAATGCATAGGATAAAACAGAATTACTGTAAGAAAATATGTAAAGTTTACAATCAGCTCAGTGAATGTAGATATATACGATTTGTCTATGTGATTCACTATTTGAATTTTGAATTTCTTGATTGGTTGAAACTTTATAAATCTGATGAAAAAATGTTTTTTTTTTCTGTATTAATGATATTTATACTCGATGGTTAATACAGTAAAATTCTTATGATTTGTATAATTTACATGATTCAATCTCATCTATGTTCATCTCATAAAAGCATTAATATGTTATATAACTTTTTAATTTGAGTTCAATCGCTTTTTCTCAATGAAATACAATAATGTTGTGAGATCAACATATCGAAAATGTAGAAAATTCTATAATTTATTTGTTGAAATTCGGAAAAAATTTAGAAAAGCTTTCTATGATCGAATATTAAATAATTTAAATCACCATTTTCTTAACTAGATTATTTATCAATGCATTGCAACTCATAAACAAATAGACATAATGACATTAAAATGATAAATGTGAATTCACACACATGATATTGTTATTGAATAAACAAGAAGGAGAAATTCTATGATGATAATGAAGAAAATATAGTTGATGGAAAAAAGAAATAAAAATAAGATTAAAATAATAATATTTTAATTTTATTTTTCAAGTCTTAAAGACATATGTCACTTGATTTCAATATTAATTGATCTATGTGAATCATTTATCTGTAATTAATTCAACTTTGATAATAAACTTAAAGAGATAGAAAAAAAATTTATCTCAAATGAAATCGATCTCTAAGTTGATTTCCTTTCCTTTTCTGACTTGAAATTTTCTGCTTATTTATTTTTCATTTTTTTCTTTTGTATTGGATATACCAATTTAAATTTCTTCTTTTTTCTCTCTTGCAGCTCAATTGATCAGATTCGAAGTTTTTTTTTTTAAATAAATACTTTTACCATTGAAAAAACACATTTTTTGATAGATCTATCGTTATTTTGCTTCTGTCGGACACTAGAAACGATATTTTTGAACCAAAAGAAAAAACTACAGCAAAAAGAAACAAAGTGAAAATTTTTATAGAGAAAACATTCGACCATTTATGACTTTTGTGATCTTATATTTTTCTGAATAAATCATCTGATAATTTCAAGTCCATGGCATATTTTGCTCTATTCATTATAATCTATGTGTTCGGAAAGTCTCATAGTTTTTGCTTGAACTATTTTGAAAAATCTTCACAAAAAAAAAGAATAGAGAAGCTTTTCTGACATAAAATAATCTTAAAACATTTTCAATTTTATTTGATAATGCAGAAATTGATACCGAAGAATATATATATAAAAATTGTCTTTCTTCATCGCATTAGATTCGAAAAATACAATATGAATTAATTATTTATATTTACTTCAAAATAATGTGCAGCGTGTATTTTAATTGAAAATATAAGAAATTTTTTTTTCGTCTATTGTTTTTAGTTTTGCATTTAAGAAAAATAAAAATATCAAAATATTCTTCTACTTAAAAGAAATAAACTCTTAGAAAATGAAATTTTGAAAAATTCCCAACAATCCTATTTCTTATTCAACATTTTTTATATTTTGAATTAAACCATCTTCTTTCATTTCAAGATTTCTTATAGTCGATGTGTTGCCACCAGTTTCCTTTCAAATGTTGACTCTTAATAAATATTTAAACAAATTATTTAAAAAAACTACTCGAATATTGTAATCAATTCATCAGTCACAACACATTTATCGCAGTAAGCAATTGTTCTCTCTATCGTCATTATCTTCTTATTCTCTCTTCCGTATGGA